GTCCCCGCGCGGAAGGAGGGGTGGCGGGGAAAGCGCGCGTGCGCCCCGCGCGGGGTGTGAAGGGCGGGAAGGGGGCGGGCACAGCGGGACCCAGGCCCGGGGCGCGGCCCGCTCGGCCTGCTCCACTCCGGCCCCGCTTGACCAGGCCGCCGCGTCCGCGCGCCGCGCCCTCCGGCCCCAGCGGCCGCCGGGCTCGTCACGTGACCGCCGAGGTCGGCGCCCGGGGAGGGGGCGGGGCAGAGGGGCGGGGCTCCCGGCGGCCCCTGGGGCTGCGGGGCCCAGCCTGCCGGGCGCCCCCTCTCCGCGGCGCTCCGTCTGCTCCCCACGCCCTTCTGGATCCGCTCTGCTCAGAGGTCCTCCATTTGGTGCGCGGAAACCCAGAAAGAGTGAGCGCGGTCAAAGCGGGGAGTGGCGGGGCCTCCGGGTCTCCCGGGACCCCCAACACACAAACAATTCACCTTCCTGTGTGTGCAAGCTCAGGCCTCCTGGAACCATTCGGCTTACGGGGAATTCGAGTTTAAGTGCACGGGAGTCCCCCATTGCCTGCAGGCAAGCTCTGGGCAGATCTGGGTTCAAATCCCAGTGCCCCATGCCTGGGGAGGGGCGGGGGGGCAGGAATGGAGCCCCAAACTCCTAAGAGTGCCTCATCTGTGAAATGGGACTTACCCGCCCATCCCTCGGGTGTTGAGAAAATGAGATAGTGCGGGCCAAATGCTGAGAGCACGTGAGCGCTCCATAAATGTTACCTGCTGTCATTTTTATTATTGCCGTTTTTATGAAAAGGGGTTTGAATCCCAGCTCCATCACTGCCTCTCTGTGGGCCGTGTGGATCCTGTGGCTGCTGAGCCAGCCAGTTTTCCGCGCTGTAAAATGGGGACCAGCCTCTTCTTCGAGGCTGCTGTATGCAGTTGGCGCTCCACAAATGCAGGCGGAGGGTGGAGGCTTCTCCACAGTCTCCCAGAGCCTCTGGAGAGTGCCGCTTGGCTCATGGCCCACCCGCATTCCCTTTACAACCTGGTGACCGGGCCAACGGCGGGTCCCCGGGGTGCGAAGCGGGGAGCGCTCCCTGGCGGCGGTGCCTGCACAGTGGCGCCCTCCCGGGATCCTGCAAAGTTATGGGCACCTTGGTAACTCGCGGCTGTCCGTGGGTTGCGTCGCCCCAGAGACCAGGGCGCGATGTTTTCTCGTTTTCCTGTGCGAAACTCTTTGGGAAAGAAAGAGGAGGAGGAGAAATGATACCAATCCAGGAT